TAATTTGGTAGATATTTTTAGATTTTATGGTTGCTTAGCGATCTTGAAAAAGTCCTTTCACCTTGCTGTGCTCAACTTGTCTTTGTCAATTAGTAACAAGCTTCTGAATCCCAGCAAAATTCAAGCTGTTCATCCGCGCCTGTGCGTTTTTAAATCAAGCCTAATTAAGGCAGTTTGTGGATAGGAAGTTTTGGGGAGTTCAGACTCAGACAAAATGCAACGTACCCCAAAGCACACCGCAACCTGACTACGCACCACAGGGACTGGGAAGAGGGTCACACGTGGCACGGAGAAGTCTGCTGCTATTATGTGGACGGGTGTCTTGTGCAGGTAACGTGTTACCCCCCAAGTAAACCCCGGTGTGACCATCACAGCTGGCAGCATCACTGCAGTCAGCTTAAAACGGAAAAGAGAAAAGGAAACCAAAGAAGAGCTGCACAAACAGAAGACTGTTGGATCTGAACCCAGTCCCTCTAGCTCTAAGCTAACACGGGAACGGGCCACAGAAGTGACAACTGTGCAAAACTCCTGTGAGATCACAGTCAGTCTTCTAAGGCCAGAGCTCCTGCCGCCTGTACTGGCACGTCTCTGGGGAGACACAGCTACTGTCGCTCAAACCATGGGCTCTGAGTCTCACTTACGCTGAGGCTGTATTACATTCCTCTGGCTGCAGCGGGGACTTGATCCTGCCTAGCTGTTAGCGTACACGGGGTTCAGACCTACTGTCTGCAGAGCAGTGTAAGGGAGAGGAACCGTCAGCACTTCCTTTCTGGGCAGGGGGGAGAACCCAAACCCCACCAGAAAGCCCCCATTTGCTCCAGGGAGTCAGATCCACGGCTGGTGCAAGTGCACATCGCTTCTGGTTTTCTGCCAGCCCAAGCCTTGCCCCTCTGGGCTTTAGTTTACCAATTACCTGAGAGCTAAAAGCCAGATCTCTGCTTTCACCAATCTTAGCACAGCAAAGGTTATGTTTACAATTTATTAATTATTATCACTTTTAATAATTGAATGCAAAGCTTCTTATTGCTCCTCTGTCCCCTGGGGTGACTCTCCCCTGCTCCAACACATTCCCACCCTTAGGGAAGATGTTGTTTATTATGCTGATCCCACATCCCAGGAATACTCTCCTGACAAAGCGCCTATTAACCTCAGAGTGTGGGCCTGAGTTTCTCAGAGTTTCCCACACTTTCTTCCCTATTTATGACATTCAGAGGGCCCACAAAGGAAGCGTGCCTCACAACAGCCCACATTAGTGACGCTTTTTGGCTCTGCATTGTGATGACCAGCAATTCCTGTCCCGATAGACCATCTGGAGAGCTATTTTCCCAAGGAGCACATTGATCGATCAGTATTATGTGAGAGCCCTTTTAAAACTTGGGAACATTATGCTCTTTGACACTAAATAGGTGTCTTGAGAGGCGTTGTCAGAAAGATTTTAAACCATTTAAGGAAGGCACAGAAAAAATAAAAATCGTAATTATTTCTTTAAAAAAAACACCATCAATGGCATTTGTGAGACAGGCTGACATGAATGTAGGAAATGGTCTAAAATAAAAATGCCCTGAAAGTGATATAGAAAGGAAAGCTCTAGGCCATCAAGTTGCATGCTCTAAGTACAGCCACAGACGTACAGAAGCGCTGCTTGTTAAATCTGCCTAACACAGACAATGAAAGTCTGGTTTTCTGGACTCTTTTCTGACAGTCTACCTTCCTCCAGACTTGTTGCTGCAGTGCAATACACTGGGCTCCCCTCCATGGAAAGCCAAGTATCAGATGGGCTAAGCAAGCTGTTGCTATTACAAGTAGTAGCAGCTTTAGTGAAAACAGTGTGTGTAGTAAGTCTGCACCTGGGCTGAAATCACCACCTACACACCAGAAGAAAGCTCCGTGGCCCAGTATCAATTTCTGAGGCTAGCGGTCCCCCAGCTGGTTTGATTTATGGACTCTAATGAACACAGGCGATAGCCTTGCAGTTGGTCCGTTACCCTTCCCGGATCCTCTGTGGCTGTTCCTCCACTTCGAGCAATCTATGGCACACAGATCACACGCCGTAGCTCAGGGTCAAATGGTGAACATCTAGAGCTGGAGACAATTAACACAGGGGTTCTTGCCTTAGGAAAAGCTAGGACTGCTGCCCGGTGTGCAAGGGCTGTACGTACACTGACCACTGTTTGCACGTCTGTTTCCCCTTGCACTCCTCAGTTTTTCTACCGAGTGAGAGTGGAGCCACCTCCCTGGTTCCACATGTGATTTTGCATCTCCATGATGCAACTCATGACCGCTGTGATTTACAGAGACACAAGGCCACTGAGAGAGAAAGAAGCCTCTTTGTCCACAGCAGAGCTGTCATCTCTCCAGAGCGGGTCCAGATTTCACACCATCCTCCAAAGAAGGGAATTGTGTCACATTGTTTAGTCATCTCCACATGTTTGGCAATTTGGGGGATTTGTTTCTTGCAATCCCTCATTCCAAAAACAGGGAAACCCATGCTTCTGAGCCTCGGACAATCAATCTTTCACTCTGGCTCTGCAGCGACAGTCAGAGGGGCACAAACTCCTCCCATGGATACGAAGGACAGTGACGAGGATTCGGATCACAAATGTGTTTCAGCCAGATAATTGTGCTAACAGCGGAATTTTTAAAAAGCCCAAACTGGGCAAACTAGTTACAGACTTTTAACAGAGAGCAACAGGACTGCCTACAGCACACGATCTTTTTTCCTTACTGAAATCCTTGCAGGACGTGCATATTGCACAAGTTCCATACAAATAGATTCTAGGGACAGCCTTAGTCTAGATTATTTATTATCCTGAAACATCAGTTGGGAAATATTGTTGTAATTAAGTTTTCAGGCCTTAATAATCGAACGAGATGGAGCGGGACTATTTTTTTTTTTTCTCTTTTGTCCATCAACAGTATACAGAGGGTAGGTGAGGCAGGCAAGGGGGGAATGGAAGATTTGCTGTATCTTTTGAACTGACAGGGAGAGGGGGAGAGAAGCTGGGAGTTTGTGAGCGCAGAGGGCTGTTGTTTTGTGTGCTCGCTGCAAGGCAGCATGCCTGGTTCACCATTCACATCAGATGGTGCAAGTCCACAGTTCGGAGGATTTCCCACATTGCCCCATTCACAGTGTTAAACTGTCAACAAAAGAAGTGTGCCTCTGTGGGTCCTGAGAAGAAAGCTCACGCCTGCTGCACCATCTGCCCAGCACTTAAAGGAAGGGATAATGCTTTAATCAGTGGGAGTTGGTTTAGCCCTTTGGAGTCCAGGGGCATTGTGCTGGGGATAGGATGGCATTATTGAAAACCACTCATTTCATATTTCCAGAACTGAAAATTGGGTCAAAGCTGCCCTTCCCATTTCCCTGTACCTGCTGCAAACATATTCCTTCCCACGGCGTGCGTGGCAGGACCTGCTGTCCGTTCCATCTCATGCAACCCCTGAAAGAGATGCACAAAGCCCCGGGCTTGACTTCAGGCTCCAATAATGGCACAAACACATGCAGCCAGAGATTGCCCTGGCTGTGAGCAATACTGCTGATTACAAGCTGCCAAAATAATTCAGGGAACTGATTTTGAATAGGACCCATGCTCCCTGTTCAATTATAGGTTTTTGACAACCATCCACAATTAAAATTGTTACACCCTAAGTGATCCATCTAAACGTAAAGTGTCTTTGGGCTGGGAAGGGAGGAGGGGAGAATGCCTGACCTATGAAAATCACTGCCATGAGAAGCCAGGAAGTTAAAAGGAGGGTTGTAAGCTTCAGGTTAATAACTAGTTACAGGATCATCTTTGCAGGATCATGCCCTTCTGTGCAACAACCCCACGTGTGCTGGAACACGTTGCTATCTATGTACCCACAGAGAGGGGTGTTGGCCCTTATCAAGAGGGATGCTGAGGGCAGGTGAAACAGGCTGACTGCAGCTGACAGTGAAATGAAAGGTTTCCTCTCTGGTTTTGAAAGGCAGACACAGGAAATAGGGGTTTCATGAATGTTGTTGGTGTAAGAAACAGGTATTCAAAAGCGAACACCCTCCACCTGCTAACCTCTTAGCAACAATTTAGCTTTACTCCCTGTTCTAGCCCCTGACCACGGAACATGCATTAAGGAAAAAGGAAATGACGCCCATGCATGACTACCCTTAAACCCACAGAGCTCCACATACTGCAGCTGAAACAGATATACCATAAAGCATAACTGGGAATTTGTCAATATGAGGCCTCACACAAGCCTGACTGACAGAGTGACTAGCTTTGGATTGTGCTCGGGGGGAGGGAAGCAGACCTGAGTAGGCAACCTAGAGTAGCCTGAAAAAACATATCTCAAAAAGGCAGCTTTAATCCTGGATCCTATCTGGTCCTTTCCACTTCATTACCTGCGTTCATTGCAATACACATGGCACATATACTGAGAAAGCCCAAGAATGAACAGTCACAGCACATCCTAGCACCCGTATTTACCTCCTGCAAGTGGGATAATACAAGCAGAGTAATGGACAAGAATTGACTTTTCACTGCATATCATCCGTAAAGAGAAAATATATTTAGGGGCTTCACGTAGAGTCTCAGGACCAAGGGAACAGTGAGGCATTTGCAAAGTGGCATGAAATTAAATAGGACATGTTTGGGAAAGGCATCATAATCGTTACATGTCACGGGCTGCCATAGGAAAGCCCAGATTACCCAAACAAAAGCAAGGAATTGCTCTGAATATCACTTATAGAGGCGCTCTATTTAGAGAGGAAAATATTTCAAGCTAACTACTTGGCACAAATTGTTTTAAGGGTTCTTCCCTCGATTTTAGTCTCTAGTTGCCTGAAAATTATCTGGTACTGTATTCATCTAAGCATGGTTTAATGTCAATGAAAGGGTTTAGTCCCTCTAATTCTGCATCTTTTCTTTTTCAACCTCTCTTTTGGTCATGGGCACAGAGCATTATCTCTTCCTGGGATCAGTCTTCTGTGCTTAATTTCACCGCAGCCTGGGAAAAGGCAGCACATTGAGATGTTGACATTCCCAACATCAGGCAGAAGTTTGATTATAATGACGGCAAACGCTTTCCCACGTTCCTACCCCAGCGCCGTAATGTCAAGCCCTATTGTGTCACACACTGCCCAGTCCACCTGCTCCTTTGGGAGCGGGGTATTATCCCCAGGCAATTCACAGTCAATTTGCCATGCTGTAATAGATGCTTTCTCTATTGTCCCGGGGCAGGCGTGGATTGGCTATCGACTGTGGGAAACTCAAAGTTGCTTAGGACCCATACATTTGTATGCAGCCACCACGTATAAATAGAGGAACTCCTGGCTCCCTTCTCCACCTGCTAACCAGCAAGCTCCGAGCTGAAACCAGCACTTGGGATCATGGCACCCAGTGCTCTCTCCCTGGAAATCCTAACGCCCAAAGAGAAGAACAGAGTAAGTATCTGCTGTCCCTGTGACCGCGAGGGCAAAGAGCTGAGAAGGGCCGAAGCCCCTTGGCAGCAGGTTATATAGAGATGGGAAGGGGAAAGCCTCACTGCTGACTGTCCTCTTCCCATTTTGTGTTCCAGCTCAGGAAACCCATTGTAGAGAAACTGCGGCGTGATCGGATTAACAGCAGCATTGAGCAACTGAAACTGCTGTTGGAAAAGGAATTTCAGAGACACCAGCCCAACTCCAAGCTGGAGAAAGCCGACATCCTGGAGATGACCGTCAGCTACCTGAAATACAGCCGAGGTGAGCACACCCCCGATCACACTTACTGCCCTTACTTTTAGGCAAAACTCCAGCCTGAGTCTCTCTGTGTAACACTTCTCTCCTCTTCTGCCCTTTCAGCTTTTGCAGCATCTGCCAAAAGCCTACAGCAGGATTATTGTGAAGGGTACGCCTGGTGCCTCAAAGAAGCTCTGCAATTTCTGTCTCTCCATTCGGCAAACACAGAAACACGGATGAAGCTGATCTGCCATTTCCAGAGGTCACAAGCAGTGCCTAAAGACACTGGTTCTTCTTCTGCACCCACTTCCACCCACCAGCCCCCTGCAAAACAAGCGGCACTGAAACCCTCCTGCAGCCTCTGGAGGCCTTGGTAGGCCAAGAGTACGCTTACGCGTTCCTGGACATTTGCTCATATTCCAGAGGAGATCGTGACTTGCTATACAAGTCCCCGCACTCCTCTCACGAGTAGGGAAGAATTTTTTCCTTTTGCAGAGCATTACTATGCTTGGATATCTGCTTCCCTTCTTGCAGAAGGACTGAAAAGATCCCACCACGTGGAGAGAAAGTTATTCTAAAAGAATGTGAGATGTAATCCTCCAGCTAGGAGGACTGAGAGGCGATGTTCAGAGAGGAACACCGACTGTTCTTAACCTTAGTGAGGTTGAATGTGTACATCTGTTGAGAAAGCAGTAACTTCTAAGATGTTCAGGCTAGCATTTTCAGAAGTGTCCGTTCAGGAGGAGCCCTTTCCTCTGACCTGCCCCGCTTGAGACTCCTGAGTGTCCCAGATATCCACACCCACACTGCCTGGCTGCAGCTGTAGCCGGGGAGGGGGGGTTAAGGTGTCTCAAGCAGAGCAGCTGGTCTAACGGGACACATTTGAAAACCTAGCTTTCCTGCGGGTGCCATAACGGGTTCTATAATATTTATAGACTGTACTGAGCATGCTCTGAAAAATGGTTAAACCATAACTTAGACTACGTAGAGGAAATTCCTCAGGATGTCTTGCTCACAAAGTCAGAGTACTGTTTGTGAGGTTCAGGATATGTCTGCCTTTTATAAAGGCAAAAGCTCATTTTTATATCCTTATAGGAAAAAAAGTTACGGCTGTGTTGTCGATTTTACGAGAAATATTTATAAAAGTCTTTCATTAAAGGCAGGTGTACAAATTATATTTACTCTTTGGTACCCTACCACCAGGGGAGAATGTGAATTCGTTACTGTCCTTGGAGGATGAAATGACATGTTGTGTGTGAGCTGCACCGATTGTATAACCCGTGCCAGAAATTATCCTGAACTTCAGAAGCTGCAGACACTTTTAACAGCGCAAAAATAAATAAAAATCTAATTAATAAACCCAGCAAGTTATTCTTTCTTGAGTAGTTCGCATAGCTGATTTCCCTGCGGTCCCTGGGGTTAAAGGACACGAGACAAAGATTTCAGTGAAAGCAAAGATATTCAGAATTAGTATTTAATAGCCTCACTGGGTTTGCGTCCCTTGGGAGCCCCTGCAGTGCTGTTTTCCACCGCAGAGAATACACAGCTACGAAATATCAAACCCCAGCCCTCCCAACGCGAGACAAAAATAGAGGCATGCCTAACCACCAAATTCTTTGGAAATTTAGAGCCGAGAGACTTGTCAAGAAAGGTCACAGCAAGGGCAAACTCAGGAAAATTCATGCCTGACTCCCAAACATAGAAAGTACTTTTGATTAATAGATTTACGTTTGCCAAGGCCCTTCCCCTTACGTCTCACGGATCCTGTGGTACGTACCCGAGTCACAAAACAGCCGGAACCGCAGGGAATTGAAATCTAGGTTTTTGTCTCGAGGGGAGACACGTATGGCTGCTCGATACGCCTCTACATGAGGCTCGAGTCAGCAGTGCCTTGCCCTCGCACGTTGCACCGGGAAGAGAGAGGGTGTGCGGGCATCCCCGAGCCTCGGGCTGCGGGCGGGCCGGGCACCGGGCACCGGGCACCGGGCACGGCCCCTCACAACGTCCCTTCGCCCCCCGGGGTCTCGTTTTCCCGCCCGTGAGGTGCTGGGG